TAGATGCCAGAAACGATGATAAAATTAAACATAACAATGACAAACTTTTGTGAAAACGGGAGCACTAAAGACGAAAACAGAACATTTTGCATGAAAATGCAAACTGCAAAACTAAGTGAACCCCAATGCCTGCCTGTTTGAACGCACAGAAGATAACATGCATCCTATAAAGTACACAAACATAGGTATGTACGTATGAATGTACTTTCTTCATCTGCATGAATAGGCGAGTCAATATGGATGGTGAATTGGTGAGGAGAATAATATAAAGTTGGAAACCGCAGATGGTCTTGTTCAATACAGCTTATGAATATTGATAATCTTAAAAAGCTGTATAAGCTATAAATATTATTTTAAAACCATTTGCCAAATATTGGAGACGATTAGATTCTATTGACTAAATCAACCAATTTTTGCAGTAAATAATAAAAGTAAACTTGTCTCATAGATTTGAAAAATCAGATATTAGTTTTTTTTACACGTTTGACTGTTACATGTAGCTGTGTGGGCATTAAATATTCTTAACTATGTAAAAATATATATACACACGTATGTATACTGTTTATATTTAAAATTAAAAACAGAAGATTTTAAATAAAACGAATCAGACTCCTCCAGTATTTTAATATTTAAAAAATCGACGTAATTTACATACATATGTACATATGTACTTATATATGTAACAAACTTATATATGAGAAAAGTATGTAGGAAAAGTACCAAGATTGAAACATTCAGTCAATTTAACTTAGGTTAAGTTTCTACAACCATACATACATACATACATATGTACATAATAACGGCATGCTACATATTTCTCGTTGTTAAGCCCATATCACTATTCGCCATTTTGTTTCTGTTGATTCGCATAAAGCTCCTCCTATGTAACCTGTTTTATCTCTTAAGCTGACTGAATAGTTTAACTTCAAATGTGTTGAACCCAATTCATACACACCTCATACATATACATATGTACATATGTATGTATGCATAGAGCAAAGGTTGTAGCTCAGCTTATGTCGTAGAAAACACATGACAAAATTACGCATAAAATCGTCCACTATTTTGAGAATGATATGTACATACATACATACATATGTATGTACTGATGACCACGGACATTCCACCTTTTAGCATATTATTGTAGTAGTTAGTAGTATTATATATGTATATGTTCAAACATATGTATGTATGTACATACAAATAATTTATTTAAATTTAAAAAAATCAATGAAAAAATCATGTAATTATGTACATATGTATGTACATATATGACTACTTGTATAATAACAGCTGTTATGTATACACTGTATACATTCATCAAATATTATTCACATATGCAAGTGTAGGTAAACATTTTTGTATTTATGCATATATGTACATATATATGTATGTATAAAGGCATGACGAAACGAAAAAATCTTCACGTTTTTGTTTGCTGGGTAGATGGGCACACTCACACAAACCATTCTGAAACGGGTTAATACAACACACGAAAAATGTACACTGGTGTGTGTGTATAAAAGTATACAACTCAATAAAAAATGGATAGGAGCAAAACAGGTTTCTGGCTTCTCTCTTTGTGGTTGAATACTTCATCGACTATAACCGATTACGAGGAATGTCTTCATTAGTCGGGTACAAAATTGCTACGTTTATCAGTTTAGGTTCTACATGAATTTTCGAGCCGAATATCTATACTCTAATGGACATTACATATGTATGCACATACATACGTATGCTGGATAATGTAGGTTTTATATAGTACATATATTTAAAATAAACCAAAGAAAGAATCTGCGACATAATTCATTATGTATGTATGTATTATGGATCAATGTTTCAAGCCAATTCGATGTAATTTTGTTTATTTCTTCTAGTTAATCTAGTAATTTTCAAAGCTATCTGACTTTTGAGGATAGTTTTGTCGAAACTAGTCGTTAGAAAAAAATTGGAAATCATAATATTATTGTATATCAATTTGTCTAAAGTGGGAACATATGTATATATGTATATTAATATGTTGAATTAGTGACTGTAAAAACTAGTTGTAAGAAAAAACTTGAATCATAATACATTTTCTATAATAAAAGTAACTTTTGTTTTTGTGTAAATGTCTTCAGAGTATTATTTTAATTGATATTTAAGAACTAAATTTGTCTTTCTCCGACCGATCGTCCCTATAGAATCAAAACACATATACGGTGGCACCCTGGATATTCCTTTGATTTTAATAGCCACTCTAATGTAAAGTAAGTGTCATACGGTTCTTACTTTATGAGCAGCGGAAACATGCATACGTATCTGTACAAGTCCATACATATGTATATTTTTATAAAAACAACAGTACTGTCTTCATATACATATATAGATACATACATATACATCTTGGAGTATGTTTGTAAGAATTGATGACTGTTTGATACAAACATAACTTTGTGCTGGCTCAAGGCTCAAACACAACATTTTAAGCAACGACAAACAACGATCTGAGTGGCTGAGTTTCCGTTGATCGTATAACAAGAGTGCAAGCGCACTATGTCAGGAAGAACCTTACATACTCTCACTCACTATTTCGCCAACAAAATATTTGAAAACGTTAGGTAAAAAATCCACTGAGGGATTGAAACATTGTTTTATTGAACATTTTTAGTTTCTTCATTGCCAGTAATTTGTTTAGAGTATAAAGAGATAGAGTTGGAGACATCAGGACGGAGTGGTCAAGTCTGTTTTTAAGAATTAAAGCCCAAACTATTTCACCCGCTTCAGTGTTTTTAAGTTTTTTAAAAAATTTTCCCGTACATAGTCGTGCCGGGATAAAAAGTACTCACTTACTGTTATGTATGATAAAGTGCTTGTACTCCTTTTAAGAGTAAAATAATGTCTTAATCAGTAAAAGTAGTAACAACCAAACAATGCGAATTGAGATGGGACGAAAAGGTGGAGAATAGAAAGGAATGTACAGGTTTTGGATAGACTAAAAACAGTAAACATTAATACGAGTATATATATGTACATATATGAATTTAATCACAAAATATTGTGATTTAAACAATAAAATAGTAATTTTTGTAAACAAATAAATGTACATACATACAGACTATGTAAATAGTTTAGTTATCGATCGATGTCAACATCGATTTAATCGATTCCTTTGTTTTTGTGGAGAACTTCGATTCCTTTTTTGGAAACTTTTAAATTTTATGTCTGCTTGAGGAAGCCTCCAACATACGATTCACAACAACAACCTGCTTTCTTTTCCTGTATGGAAACTCCCAACAATATTTTGAAAAACTGTTCCTTACGTTATTTATAAATTTTTAGGAGAGCTGGAGTTCTCGATTTAGTCAAGCGAGAATCAGACGTTCTTGATCAATAAAACAAATGCATCTCAAAAACAAGAAATTCAATCTATCTTATTGTTAAAGGATCGAGGAAAACATCGATTTAAAGACAATCTTGGTAGCGGGTATCTTATAGTCGGAAGATCGAGCAAAGGCTAACTTGTTCCTCTTTCATTTTCTGCTTCGACGGACAACATAATTCGAAAGGCGAGTTCGGCTCAATTTCTTGATAATGATGATGCTTCAATCTGCGTCTGTCTTGTCGCTTAATGGAGAAAGAAACTGGATTTAAGAGTATGTATGTATTTATGTATGTATGTATGTGCTTGTCATGTATATAAATATGAATGTGTGTATGTCGATGAAGACAAAGGTGATGTTTTTGTGGGCTTCGATTTGCAGACTAATTAAGACCTTAAAATTGTTACTGGTCAGGCCAAAAAGAAATGAAAATTAAGTCATTGAGCTCGGCATCAATGTTTAATGATGATGGTTTAATATGGTCAAAATATGATTTGTTCAGCGATATTAGCAACAACCTATTTTAATCTAAGAATGTATATAGTGTGTGTATAGATGTACGCTTATCATATTTTCTGCGAGACTTGAAACCAAGTATGTACCTGATCAACCGTAAAAAATACTACTACTATAATGTTTCATCTTTTCCTTTAATGTCCGTGTCATCTGATAAAGGCCTGTAAATTGCATCTGAATATCAAAACCTGCTGATGAACCAAGTTATGTTATTGGAGCACGGAGAAGTTGCTTGGCCGCGTCCTCCAGATTAGGTCGCTTTCATTTTTTACCCCTCTGCAGTTGATGGACAGACGAATGCAGATGCAAAATCTTACATTTCTATATACATACATATGTATGTACGAAAAAGTTTAAATGTGTGAGTACCTAAACTCTACCATACATCCATACATATATATCAATGTGTACGTATGTATATAAAAATATCTGGTTTTTTGTTGTTTCCAAGAACCGACCAAAGTTCCCTCATAAAATAAGACTAAATGTGTGCATGGAAATGTCCATACGTATATACATACATACATATGTATGCATCTCTCGCGTACAGAAATACTGAAGAATTTATATGTATGCTTGGAATGACTTGAATAAGACGTTAAATTACAAAAGGCACATAATGAGAACGTAGGAGAGGAGCGCACAGCAAGCGCATTTTAAGGCCTGATCCAGCCCGCTGTGCTCTCGCAGGCAGCGAATCTGCTTGAGTCCCAACGTAGCCCTCAGCCACGCCACAGGTTACCGAAAGGTCGTTTTATAGACATCGTGGCTCGTTGACTACCCCAGCCAAGCATTGACAATATTCAGAGTCAGTGTATGCAGGTACAATGCAGATCGCACACAGATACTCACTAATACATAAACACTAGCACTCAGATTCACATGTTTTCTTTATGTATGTATATATATTTCCTACCCGAGATATATGTACATATATGCATAAATATGTAACTTTTTATTAAATTATTTTATGGTACGTGCTCTAAATATCAAGGCAAGGAAAACAATGCCTTTTTAATGTTTTTTAACTACACATAATACGATTTAGAAAATATAAATAGGTATGTACATATTTATGTACCTATTCGTAAAAAAAAATAAAATAAAATTTGTGGTCAAAAGATTTTTTTATTATAACCAATTTTCCTATCCGAGATTTACATACGATATAATTATCTCTATATTATATAAAATAGTTTGGGGTCGTCGTCGCACGAAATTTTATTTTGGCGGGGGCTGGAGCACTAGCGAAGCGAGTATGCAGAGGCCTCTAGAATGTAAATTATTATTTTAACAATTTAGAAACACAGGTATGTATGTACATACATGTTTATGTGTAAAAATTAATAAGTTGCCACCTTCAATCGAATTTGACTTTTTGTTATCTTCTAAAAAACAATTTTTCTGACAGATTTATTTTTAAACCGATTCTTTTTATGGAACTTGTAATGATGCGATCGAGGTAAGCACATAAATTATTTTTGGCTGAGATGTAACGATTACGATAATGTAATTTTAAACGCTTAGTTGAAATATCATTAAAAAAAACAGTTTTTTTTCAAAAGGAATTGTTTTTTGAACGATTGTTCTCTAGTGCAACTATATGATATACAAATCCTATCATTGCAATTTTCACTTATAAGACAATTCGAGGTGACGCCGGGATAGCTTCAAACCTGAGAGACTACTGTCACACTACACTAGTGTAAATACTAAATAATAAATAAATCGCTGCATCAACGGACAGGCCAAAAGTATAAACCTAATTAAAAAGATAAAGGATTCGAATGCTTTTCAAATCAACAATTTCAAAAAAGCTGCTACCAGGTTATTTCTGATTCAACGGGGCTTTTTGGGAATTACAAGATGTTTGCAAACACACAAAAGAAAGAATCTCCCAACTCATAAAGTATATACATACATACATATGTCAGTCGCTTCAGTTTCTATGTGAACCACTTCTCCCTCAGTTTTAAAGCTATTCGGGAGCACGTTTATAAAGACTCTTATTTTTTCTACACGTAGTACAGAAGTAGGAAGCGTCAAGACGGGAAAGTAACATACATATGTACATATGTTACATAAAGATATGTATAATTTATTTCTTTTAAAAAGAGTGCATTTATTTCATTTGTATATAAAGATATAGCTCAGACAAAAATAAACATAATCGGATAATTAGATATATGGGTACCATAGGACTAGACCGATCGGTCAAAAAACAAATGTTTTCAGTCAGAGGACATAAATACCATAAATATAGGAACTACAGGGTATTATTTAGGATTTTATAGCAACTTTTGATTAAAAAGTCAATTTCGAAACAAAAGTCACGATTATTTCGTCCCTATATTTTATGTATGTGATACATTGAAAAACAATTTTGAAAATAATCATGTCTTCAAGTAGGTTCTTGATAAATCGCGGTCTATCGATGATATTTTTCTTTTACTTTTGATACTGTCAACCGTGTAATGTTATTAGAAGTAGTTAGTACTACAGAAGTGAAGCATGAATGAACGAAGCAATTAAGACGGGGGTTAGCAGTAGGATTATTTCAAAAACGTTGAAACAATAAAATTTAAATTAATGTTTTATGTATTGCCCATTTTGTTGGAAGCCAGAGTATAACTGACTTTTGTTTTATTTTTAATTATACATACATGCATATATGGTAACATACACATTTATCTCATCATGTTCGTTGGCATCATAAGCCTGGATGCAACGAAGTAATTTCTTCATTATTTTTTTTTGTATTAATTGAGCAAAGGTATACCCTTAGCGCTACTCGTTTTCGAATGTGTATGCTTAGTGTGTATGCTCGAGTGTATGCTTAGTATGAATGTGTGTGTATGTATCTATGTGCACATGAAAACATATCCATATACATGCCACCATACACAAAGAAAAACAAAGAGAGCAGAATAGTGTGAAGGGATAGGGAGAGAGACGACTGCAACGACAGTGAGATGAGAAATCCAGAGACTCGCAGTGTGGGAGCGCCGTGCCGATCGTTTTTACGTTCGACGCATACAAAAAAAAAACAATAAAAGTCTATTTGTTAAGATTCGGTTGGTGCCGTCCAGGCCGTAAAAACAAAACCTACCTGCCATTGGACCAGATCGAGGCAGCTGAGCCTTATTCGGTTGTAGCGGAAAAGTAGCCAAAACGCCAGATCTAAGGGCAAAAAGTATCTTAAATATGTATGTGTGAGTGTGTGTTGTGTATATTGTATATTATATGGCCATCTTCGATCTGCCCGCCTTCGCTGACTGTTCGTGATCTGTAGCTATACACTTGAATCAGTGACGCACTTGCACATGTATCTGTGTGTTGGTGCTGTATTTTAATTTGTATCTGTGTTAGCAGCTGCATCAGTATCTGTGAGAGGAGACGACGTGCGGTGTTAGTGCTGGTGCTCCATCTAAGCAAACGAAGCATTGCAGGAGATAGAGTTGCTGCCACTCAGTCCACTCGCAAGAAACACCGCAATAAGACGCAGCACACAATCGTTATTGACTTTGTCACACTTAATTTATTTTTGTTGGCTGAAAGTTAAAATAAATTAAGCGATTAATTTGGGTACTGTTTGTAACCACATGATTCGCGTACAGTACTCACCCGCGTGTGAGCTCCGTTGGGAAAACATATAAAAACCTTTTAAAAATTATTTAACAAGCACTGCAACCACTATTTGTGTCCTGTGAATTGTATACGAGTGTTTCGTGCATAATTATTTACAAAAGCAAAATATTTTTAACCTTGATAAATTACATATTTGTGCCAGTGCGTTGTTAGAATTAATATGTTTTCAAACTCCGCTAAAATTAAAAAAGTAAGTGCCGACGGCAAAGCCATGATGTGAAAAATATTCCGTTAAGTTCAACTGAACGTCGTATAGAAACATCTTTAATCTGGATCAGTTAAATCAACATGGACGCGTACGCTTTACCAACGTATTTTCCCCTTGCGTAAGTTAAATTATTCTACTATCTGTAAGCATATGTATATTTCTGTGTTCATATACTTCAAAATTGAGAAAAGAAACGACACCACATCGCTTCTGTCGTTTCTTATATTACAGTGTACAAATTATGAATCGTCTTATAACTCAGACGGTTTCGTTGGCCGAAGGTTGGATGTTTTACTTTCGGTATATTATGCCATTCACATATTTGAACACAGAGAAGACTGCTCCACTTTTATTGAGTAAAATATTGTAATATTGTATTTTTAAGAAGCCAAAGCATCGTATGAAATAAATAATCAGCAACGTGAATACACATGCGGAAATAGAGTATTTGTGATATTCAATCGGAATACAGTTAAAATGTGTCTACCCATAAAAATTGGACCGTGTTCAGTGACGACAAATACGCCCATGATTTTATGTGATCGTTATGCACACTTATATGCATCTGTGCAAATACCGTGATTAAAGTTTCGGTATAATGACCGTCGTGTAAAGGAATTACTTATTTTAATTAAAGATACATTTTTTAAATTTAAAAAAAAAATTGTATACCTTTTCGATCAGCCTAAACTACTGGTGCTCGTGTTGCTTCATCGGTTCTCAATTTTCTCCTTGAAATACATCTATGAATGCATGCTTCCATTTCTGCTACCATAAGAACGATCAGTTGGAAAACAAACCTTTGTGAAAAAGCTTCGTTCGCTCCTTAAGATATTAACCCACCCGTTAACTTCCATAAGCTCAGCTGAAAAGTTAGTTCATATTGCTGTCATAGGAAGATAGGTCGATGAATAATCCTTTGTGTTCTCGATACTCAGCAGACGAAAAGAAGCGTTTCCGGCCCCATACGGTATATATATTCTTGATCAGATTTAAAAAATATTCGACTTAAATATTTTGGTCTGTTCATCTTAGAGACTGTAAAAGCTAGAGCAGCCATATTTTAGGTGATCACCTTTGTGACATCACACTGAAGCGAATGTCTTCCTGACATCCTGTTTGATCCCAAAAGCTGAGGATACGATAGAAAACTACACAGTTTTACAAAAGGACAAACTTTGAATATACTGAACACAAGACGAAATATTGGTTGTGGGCCTGGTTTTGCAAATCTTAAATTAAAATCTTAAAAATTATACTTTTATACCCGAGAGTAAGCCAGAATATATGTTTTATGTAATTTATATTATATGTCGTTTGGTATCGATGTTCGCAGTAACCCCAAATTGATTTTTTTGCAAAAAAAACTTCATAGAATTTGATCGAAAGGAGAAAAGAGAAAAGGAGACATATGTAAAAATGGAAACAGATACAATTTAATATAAAAAATCTCACATAAGGATCGGATGTTACACATAACAGACAATTATGTGCGTTTAACATGACATGAGAAAGTGTCATAAAATTTGGCCTGTCTCTTATAGTCTCTCTAGAGTCTCTCTCTCTCCCCTTTTGCTTTTTTGATGCAACATTAATTAGGAATTTTGTATATAAAATAATTCCAAAATTTCAAGCATTGCTTATAGCCTTAGAGAGAGATAGCAATTGTGTTCATAGCAGTTTCCAGAAACACCCATAGTAAATAATATAAATAAATATCTCTTTTCAAACCAGCAATTCTTTTATTATTATTTACTATTTATGAGTAGTCTAAGTGTGAGGATGTAAAAACTCAATCGGATTTTTGTCTCATTCAAAGTATAAAATCACTGCCGCCCATTTTAATGGTCCAGAAAACTGATGCGATTGGATCAGAGTGATGAAAATAAATTCCAATCCCAGAGTGGCTTTACATTAAAGTGTGGGTTTTCATATCCGGCATTGACTTACTGACAAACGTAAAACGGATCTGACATTTGCGCCTGAACAAATTAGGAGCTACAAATTAGGACCTTTTTCTCAGATTTGAATAAATGTATTATTAGCCGGTTCGGCCACGTTTCGTTGCAGCACGCTGTGGTTGCATGAATGACAAATGAGGAACGAAACACAGCATAAAATTGATATGTTTATATGCCTTTGAATCTGTAACTGAATATGTTGGCCAGTCTTGAAAGTGAGTGTGGAATTTTCCTGTAAAATATGCGTTGCACCAAACGACTTTATTGGGAAGACTTTATTCGAACCTTCTATGTTGATAGTTCGACGACCTAAATTCGATTTTCTGCGAGATAATTGGTTAGTGGTTCTGAGCACTGGGAACTAAAACAGATTCTATATAGCTGATATTGTAGGTCTATCTGATATCTAAAATGCTGATTGATTTTTTCGAATTTGCTGCTATTACCTCTAGTTCAAAAGTTCAAAAAGAACAAAAGAAAATAAAAATATAAAAATTCGTCCGGTGTTTTTGCAGAGCTAACCCACACCCTTTATATGTGCATACATATATATAAAAATGAAATGTTTTTACATATAATATCCTTGCATTTTAAGAATGCCGGGTATACAAAAATAGTGTTTAATATATATGTTACATGTTACAGATACTCGGAACTACAATTCCTAGCATCTAGGCGAGCAGCAGCTGTAGCAGCGGCGGCAACTGTGTTACCAGGATCACCATGCCTGAACCACGTTCCGATAACAGATGTTAGTAGTTCGGTGACAGTTCCACCCCCGATGAATGAACCTGCGGCATCGGACTCTATAAAAGCGTCTACTTCTATTCTCACACCAATTAATACTGGGAATGCTAGTAACCACGCATTACTGGCCAACTCAGCTGGGCACCATCATCATCACCAGCATCAACATGTTCATAGTATAAATGTAGGTGGGCAACCACAACCACACGATTTCCACCCGGCCTACAGAATTCCCGGATACATGGAACAATTTTACTCTTTGCAAAGAAGCAGCCCCTCTGCATCCTACCATGGTAGGTACTCAGCTGGGAATAGCTGAGCATCAGCTTTATAGCATAGCTGTTAATAGTAATATTTGTTAAATAATGTTATTAATATAATTTCCTTCTGGTAGATCCATATGCCAACTGTGCCTCGGCATTCCACTTGGCCGGTCTTGGACTAGGATCAGGTGACTTCTTGGGTACGCGAGGTATGGGTTCTATAGGTGAATTGCATCATGCCGCTGTTGCAGCCGCCGCAGCTGCAGGATCACTGGCAAGTACAGACTTTCACTTTAGTATCGATGGTAACGGACGACTAAATAGCCCGCGGCCGGCTGGCGGTAGTATTCGTGCAAGCGTTAGCCGCAAACGCGCGCTGTCTTCATCGCCATATTCGGATTCATTTGATATTAATTCAATGATCAGATTCTCACCAAATTCACTAGCCACGATTATGAATGGCTCGAGAGCCAGCAGCGCTGCTAGTGGCTCATATGGTCATATTACCGCTGGTGCAATGAGTCCAATGGCACACGCCCACACATCAATAACACCACGTTTACAGCAAATACAAGCACATTTGTTGCGTGCAAGTGCTGGACTTCTGCACCCCATGACCCCGCAACAGGCGGCTGCTGCCAGTTTTTCCATGACCCATGCAGCAAACGCAGCTGCTCTAGGCCTAAGTGATGTCCATTCCAAACCAAAAGAGTTACAATTACCCATTCTTGCATCGAAATCTCCAACATCGAAATCAGTTTCAAATGAATTAAAGGAGATTGCTGCTTTAAAAGTAAGTGTACTTTTATTTCTTTGCAATATGTTAATAATGTAAATTATTATTGTCATTTTCGGTAACAGAACTTCGACGAGGGAAACCAGAAAACCCGACAATTAAAAAACAAGCCTATGGAGCAGCCATCGTCCACATCTGACAGCGTGGCACAAGTAGAAGCGGATAGCGCCTCTTCGAATTTATTGGAGCGCCGACAACGTAATAAAGGTTCAGGCAGCACTGGTAATGTCAATGGGGTTGGACAAAGTAGCCATGCGGAGGAATTTGTCAACTTTGGCTCAACATCGACTCCATCGAATGAATATGACTGTACCACTGCTGACACAACAGATATTAAAGATGAGCCCGGTGATTTCATTGAAACGAATTGCCATTGGCGTAGCTGTGGTATCGAATTTATGACCCAAGATGAACTCGTTAAACACATAAACAACGACCACATTCAAACCAACAAGAAAGCTTTCGTCTGTCGATGGGAGAATTGTTCACGAGGTGAAAAGCCATTTAAGGCGCAGTATATGCTGGTTGTACACATGCGTCGCCATACCGGTGAAAAACCACATAAGTGCACGGTAGGATCGCTTTTAAATTTATGTCGAAACAGTTTTTTATATTAGATTCATTATAGTTTGAAGGGTGTTACAAAGCGTACTCCCGTCTTGAGAACCTGAAAACTCATTTGCGTTCACATACGGGTGAAAAGCCGTACACCTGCGAGTATCCAGGATGCAGCAAGGCCTTCAGCAATGCCAGTGATCGAGCAAAGCATCAAAACCGAACTCACAGTAATGAGGTAAGATTTTAAAACACTGCAATCATTGTTTAAACATTAAACATTGTCAATGTTTAAAACTGTTGTGTATTTTTGCAGAAGCCATACGTTTGTAAAGCACCCGGTTGTACGAAACGTTATACCGATCCAAGTTCGTTGCGAAAACACGTCAAAACCGTTCATGGCGCTGAGTTCTATGCTAATAAGAAACACAAAGGCTTGCCCTTAAATGATACAAACTCTCAACTAGAGAGGGATAATGGCCATAATCAACATCATCTGCAAGAGCAGCATATTGACTCAAGCCCTTGTAGCGATGACCTGCATATTGGAAAAATGATAGGCATGTCCAGTCCCAGTATTAAATCTGAATCAGATGCCAATTCTCCACATCATTTAATGACAAATGGTGGAGGCGCCTCAGCTTCTGATTGCTTCTTATCATACACGCAAGACGATATTGCCGAAAACGGTGCCTTGAATGAATGTTGGAACTGTGATGAGGACGTCGATGTGGCCGACCTACCTATTGTCTTGCGAGCAATGGTTAATATCGGGAATGGTAATGCCTCTGCCGCGTCTATGGGGGGAACTTCAATGGGTCGCCAGCGCTTTCGCAGTCGACTTCAAACTAAAGGTATAAACTCGAGTACTTCGATGCTCTGTAATATTCCGGAAAGTAATCGTGCCATTGGCATTAGCGAACTTAACCAGCGTATTACAGAGCTAAAGATGGAGCCAGGTATGCCGACGGCTCAGGTTCAAGCGCGAGTGCCTGCTAATACGGGTTTAGGCGGCTTTCAAGATGAATTATCGCAAACTCAGTCACAGAATCGTAGCATTGCCTTAACTAAGCAAGGCTATGCAGCAGTACATAGTTCTCTACAAGCTCAGTTCCGACGCGACAGCCAGAACTCGAATGCCAGCACATATTACGGCAGCATGCAAAGTCGACGTAGTAGTCAATCATCACAGTTATCGTCCATGTCAACTATGCGACCGAATCCTTCCTATAACACGACCTCGGCATCTCTTTACGACCCAATTTCGCCGGGCTGCTCTCGTCGGTCGAGTCAAATGTCAAATGTTGCGAGCTGCTATGCCCTGACACCAACAACAGGATCGAGTTCCACGGACAAGTATGCGAACACAAACTGTGGGGCTAGTGCACAAATAAATGACAACCCTGCAAATCAATGTTTCGGCCCTAATAACAGTCTTCCGCCCCCTCCGTCTTCACATTTGATTGCAACTAATCTAAAGCGCTTGCAGGGGACAAATGGTATTAGCAGCTATCAGCAGGAAAAGGCTTTTCACAACGGCGGACGTTATTCTACTCCCAATATTATGCAGTCTCCGCATTCTGGGAACTACCGACAAGACGCAGGGTTAGAGTTCGGTAAAACACTGCAGAATGGTGTACCTAGGCGCCAATCCGAGCCATTATTGCCGAACCTGAGCTTAGATCCTTATCTTACTTTGAATGACCCAAATATGCGAAGCTCCAATAACAGGTATATAACATGCACAGGCGAAACTCATGGAAATGAGTTCAGAACCGGACAAAAGGCTGCTCAAATGCAGGATGATTCCAAAGTCCCACTCAACACTGGGAACATGCTTACGTCACCTGAGCAACATCCAAATGAAAGGGTGAATTTGGATGAAGTTGAAGAGCTCATATTACCCGATGAGATGCTGCAGTATCTAAATTTGGTTAAAGATGACGATAAGCTGTTGTCTACAAAAGGACATGAAAATAAAGATATATCAGCTAGCGTAGCAAAAACCTCATCAACTAATGAAAATCAGGATCGTCCACCTGGAAATTTATCAAATCAACAACTGGCGTCACCCGCCTCAAACCTAGACATATCAGTAGCAATTCGACCGTGTACTACGTCGCATCAAGCTGGACGTGGCTTCGGAATATTATACGCACAAAGAGATCAGATGAACGCAACTGAATTCCGTCGTCCTGCACAGACGGAATGCAATAATTTTTCGCAGAGACTTGATAATGGCCAATATGCCCAACTATCAACGCTATCTTTTGAGCAACAACCAATACCAGTAACCCAGAATCAAATTATAGATTCATCAATGACTAGTTTGCCAGAGCTAACGGATATTTCTACTAATACACAAATTCCTTCAGATGATATAAGCTTATTAAATAGTGAACATCAAAATAATAACGGAAATGAGATACAATGCGGAGTCGTTAGTCAGTCACAAATGTCACCATCTATTAACACAAATGGCACTGGTCCAGTGCCGACCACGAGGACACAAACTCTTAGCCCAAGCAAATTCCCTGCAAAGCCCCCCTTGAAAAACATTCAGCTTGCATGTCTCCTTGCGGAAAGCCCAAAAATCGGGACTGAAAACCGAACAAATAATGTAACTTCAATGCATTTAGAAACATACCAACGTACCCTGGAATATGTTCAAAGCTGTCAAAACTGGATGCAGACAAACAACGCAGTTACAGGTCATGTTCATGTTACAGCAACCACCGCAACCACCAATATGCACGTTTCTAACAACAATCCCGTGTGGTCGGATGTAAGCAGCTCGACTCACCCTCATGCGGGAACAAATATGGTTATCAACGATATGACTACATCACTGAGCTCACTTTTAGAGGAGAATCGATATCTACAGATGATGCAGTAGAGCTCTAAATCAGAATAAATAATGGGACTAAAACTGTGCTGTATAGCAGAGAGATTATTAAATATACATATGACTTACATCACGAGGCACATATATCGAACATCGATTTTGACTTAGATATGAGTGTAAAACAAACCCAAAATGAACTCCACTTGAACATACAATATGAATTGATAATATTTAATATTCAAGTATTATATTTTCTACTATAACTAAGCATAATGAAAAGGCCGTTCGATAAGAAAAAGGACTATTAATTTTTAAAGATACAAAATGATGAATGCCTAAGAGCATAGATGAACTGAAATGCTTTTAAGTTCTAAGGTAATATAATATAATCTTGACATGTGTCTTCCATATCATTGAGATGATTTAGTTTCCTGTAATACAAAAATTCATATTTTTTAATTAAAAGTATACTTGTATTTTACACATACCTACACATATTTATACTTTCAAGTAATTTAAAATAAACGTTGTTCCCGGCTACAACCGAGATATGTCTGTTGCATATCTTTCATAAATATACCGCATGTGGTTCTAATGGGCGAAATAATGTTTTCCTCCATAGAACACATAGAATAAATTGGGGCCATTTGTGATTGGATTTGTAAAAAATATTTTTCTGACTGCCTCTAGCAAGAAGCGCCACAGGGCCAGTTAGAACCTGTGCCTTATGTGCATCGACATTACTACAACCGGTAAACTATTTAAAAACGAGGGGGGACGTTGTGAGTTGCTTCTGCAAGCGCAACTCTACATTTAAACCCGATACATAGTCAATATGGCTTCATTGAGCGACAACGAGTGCGTGCGGGAGAGACAGAAAACGTGTCGTTGTAGCAGTGAGATCTAACAGGAGTATGGGTACAAAATTTGGTTGCTCTAGCTCTAATAGTCTTAACGATTTGTAGATGCCACAGATTTTCGTTCTTTACGGGGGTGGAAAGGGGTGGGCTACACTTGTGCAGTTTCGATATCACAGGGGTGTGGATTCCAAATTTGGTTGCTCTAGCTCTTATAGTCTCTGAGCACGGACTATGTACTTTATGGTGTCGGAAACGCTTCCGTCTAAATCCTTTTAAATCTATACTCATTTTGAGTATCGGGTATAAAATAAAGCTTTTGCACGTACATTTTGAATTGAATGTGGCGGGAAACAGCTCTCCTTGCCCAGACGTTCTGTTACATCTGAACTCTGAGATCCTTGAACTCACATTTTGCAATTGGCAAAACCGACCATGAAACCTGTGTGTTAGAGAGAGACAGAGCGAGAAAGAATGAAATTATTTTCGTAATTCTGGCTATAATAATTATACGATCAGATTTTGCACTCTAGAACATATAGTCATCCTCTACGATTCCGCTTTTTTTGTTTTCTTGTATCTTTGAAATTGTGGAAGCCACAGATTTTCGCCCTTTGGTGGGGCGGAAGTGTGCGGGGCAAAGTTTTGAACTATATGTACTTGTAATAGTGACATCACAGAAGTCTGTATATAAAAAGTCGTTGCTCTAGCTCTTATAGTCTTTGAGCACTAGGCGCTAATAGGGACGGACGGACAGACAGACATGGCTCAACCGACTCGGCTATTAATGCTGATCAAGAGTATATATACTTTATGGGTTCGGAAACGCTTACTTCTGGACGTTCCACACATCCATTTTCACCACAAATCCACAATACTCATTTTGAGTATCGTATATAAAAATTTTCATTGACTCATCCAGCTCTGTTTGGCTACCATTAGACTCAAATCACAAGATCAATAGTTGAAAGTCTGTGGGATTAATCTAGAATTTCGCTGTCAGCTGTACCACTAACCATACATTATATAGATGTGCCAGTTCATACTACGAAACGTCACACGCTGGGTTACCAGTCTGAGAACCCCAGAGACTTCGGCTCTGGCGTTCGGGTACTGACGCGTCATCATGATAGAGCGCAGAGAGAACATCTTTGCATGCAATATGTTTCGACAAAAATATGTGTTTGTATGCTTTTTTCTTTCTCAGAGATCTAATGCTGATGCTAATTTCTGTTATGCCCCCAGCATATTTGAATGTATGGGTGCACTCGCATTCTCACATACTTTGCGTGTGTGTGTTCTCGTATTGCTGGCCGCTAGAAATGAAATTTGAAGAATAGGCAGGGGGAGTGGGTATGGTACACTAGGGCGCGGGAAATAAAATAAAAGCTGTTATTTTTTTGATTTGTATTACAAAATATAAAATATTACAATAATAAATTTACACATTTAAATTATAAAAATTATGTAAACGCCGGCCGTTCTCGACTTTTTTGTTTATTATAACTAAAATATATATATAATAAAATAAATATGCATAAATATATATAAACATATATATATATAAAGTCGCCGCTCAAATTGGCTCCCGATATAAATTAAATGGGGTCAAAAATTAATCTGACCTATGAGTCGACTTGATATGACTTAATTTCAAATTTCATCAAAATTTTTAGCTTCTTGTATGTTTCCCTATCATCCTATCGATTAGCCATTTAAAATTTTTTCTTATCAAAATCAATACAAACAGATGAAGCAGATGATTACGGTGTGCAAACCTTTCACAGTTCATACAAGTTCATACAGTTCTTCCCGTTTGGGAAGAGTTAATTTTACCCTTTTTAAGTAGAAGTTTTCCCGGATGGGAAGCGGAGCCAGCTCTTGTTTTCTGTTTTCCTTCGACGGACCGACAAAGGCGAGGCGTGGCTGCGCCTCCTCCGAGGGCGGTATAGGTGCAGTTCGCTTCACGGGAGTTAGACGAGTTAGACTTTCAGCCGCTACTAGAGCTTGTCCATAGTCGATAGTCCATACGATGTATCGGGAAATAAGAGGCCCATGACTTATCAAACAAAAAGGGACGAACGAAAATAAACGAACAACAAAATCCAACAAACTGAGAGAACGAACTGCACACAAAGCACATCCCGGGGGAACGATATGATTTTTTGAGAAATGTGAAACCCTGATTCACCCTGGCACCATCCGTCAAAAAGCAGCTGATGAGCATAAAATTATAAAGTTTTGGTCTGAATTGTGAAATTTTCACAAGTTTAAATTAGTAAATTGGCTGTTTTATTGACTGTAATAAAACAATCCATATAAGTGTAATAAACGTTACTCTTTGGACTTCCTTAAAATTTGCGGCAGCTCTGTTTGGAATTTGGTTTGGCCTTGGCTGCTGGTGCGGAAAAAATACTAGATCTGCGTTGTATCTGTCCTGGTCGACATCAACTGAATTATTTCGATAACCAAAACAATCCGCAGAATTATCATGCCAAATATGTATATATTTTTTATCAACGCAGTCCACTTCAACAACTTTAATGGCTGCAAAGAACTAATCATTAAAAAAGCTAATACCTACATACATAGATACATACATATGTATACTTATTAAGGTTACTACCAGCAGTTTCTGCTCTCGCCATTTTGTATTGCCTCTGGTGTATTTTTTCCTTTTTTGGTCTTGAACGATTTGAAATATGTCTAGGCGCGACATATTTGCATTTGAAAACCATCGTCTAAATAACGTGCGGTTTAGGTAAAACCCAGATGGATAGTGGAATAACTGGGAAATTTTTGTAGAGGCAAAACATAACGGACCTTCCCCGAAATGGATGGTGGATGTTCGTCCGTGTGAATAACCTATTAGTTATTGAATAATGAACGAACGAACTCAATCATAGCTGAATGACATTAGACTTTGTTAAATGACAAGCGGCAAAAACAGCGACAGCCTTATGGGAAAGCATTCAGTGAGGGCGAGTGATATATATGCGCCAGCCTGGCTATCTAGTTGAGCTGGAAGCAGCGCATATTATCGATTAATGCAATTATCAGTACAAATTTTGCTGGCTTGGTGCCTATATGTTCTGCGATATATCATGATACAGTGTTTATTCATTTAATAATTTGATTGCATCACATGTTTAACAGCAGAACAAAACAAAGAGAAAGAGGTGGTCAGCTAAACGGCTTTTGAAATGCGAGTTAGGAGGCAGGTCCATCAATATTATGTAATAATAATAATACTGATATAAATTGACTGAAAATAATTAATTTCAGGCTTCGCATGCAAACTGGGGAGGGAAATTAGATACGCATCCGTCCGAAAATATGTTCACAAAAAATAAAAATGCGTCCCGCCAGATAGTAACAGCAGCACCATATTTAACAGCACTAATTTATCGATGTCTATCATGATATCTCTCTTGTCGCAGCAAATTTAGCAAAGTCTAAAGTAATAACAATATTAACAAATATTAAATAGAATACTTGTAATAGATAATAATGAACGATGGCGTTATATTGGTGTTCACCGCCCTAACAAATATTTTGTTAAGTCACTGCTTAACTGTCTAGCTTTTTTGGCAACTGTTTATGCTCCAAAAAACCGAATATACATAACAAATGGTTCTCTTAGCCACGTTAAAATACCTGGCGATGTAACGCTTGTATAGCGTAGCAGTGCTGCTGAACGTCAGAGTTTGCTATTTAATGGTTTACAAATCAAAAATCGACTTACATATGTGAATAAAAAGCATTATAATGTTTAAGTTAGTATTATATATAGCCAGCTGGCCCAAGAAAACACTTTGAAAAAATTAATGCTTTAACAAAACAAGCGGTGAAAATCTTTAAGTAGTGGAGAAGCTACGTATAAACTCTCTGTTACCTGGTCTCTCATACTGCTAGAGAATTTTTTGAATTGAAAACTTGTATATATTAGCGTAACATTATAACATATAATATTATATATGTAAGTAATGTGTGCTGAATTAGAAGAACCGAAAAATAGGTTTCTAGGCTATTCACATGATCCACCATACATTTCGGGGATGGTCCGTAAGGTTTTGCCGTTCCGAAAATTTCCCAGTAAGTCTACCATCCATTTTGGATGTTCCTAAACCGGACGTTTCTATGCGATAGTTAGCCGATGGTTTTCAAATGCAACTATGAATAACTGTCACTCATAACGAAATAGTGGTATTCACTGCAAAAACGTAAGCAATGATAGTGACAAAATAAACAAAAAAAATACAAAAATCATGCCCAATGGCTCGTATGCATTCAAGGCTGGCGATGAGTTTGAATGCGGCATGTCCGAGTCTGCCAGGCTGCATTTGCAAGTGTGTGGCGAATTAATGGGAGACGACTGCCAACATAGAACAAATATTTGTATTCTCTGTAAATGCCTTATGTTATGCATAATTTATTCTTTAATAATGAGTATTTTTCGAACATTATCGAGTTGGAAGTGGACAGATTATGTAGCTCCAACACCTTTTCTGGCAACAAGGGCCCCCGCCAAAGCGAACGAAAAAAGACGATAGAATGATTTATTGGAAGTGCTAAAAAAATAAAAATAAATAAGTTTATAATTTGCATTACGGTCAAAACAATATTTTGAGAATGGTGAGAATCACCAGAACTGTTGCTGCTATCGGGTTGTTCACATATTTTGCTATTGAAACACGGCCAAAATAATTGCCACATCATCATCCATTATAACTAGATAACATTATCGTTAGATAAGGGATTCGATTTTCGAGGGCAATTAAGGTCATAGAATTGCTACTAGATCGATAGGAGGAAAGCATTGATATTTAGTGGTGTAAGGAAGAAGTCTTACGTCTATAAGGATATGGGTGAAAAAAAACTAAAGAAAAAATAAAAGCATGCGGTCTCTTTTATCCATTTTCTTGTTATTTTTCATATTTTGGTGGTCTTTCTTGACTTCAAAATTAAAGTCATCTGTTTTCATAAAGCAATTATGCATGTTATGTCAATTGAAACGACAATTCTGCGATAATGCGTTAATTTCCATTTCGATAGAAAACTCAGTGTAACTCTTCATATAGTTTTTATTAACGTTTTTGACGTGCAAACTAATCGTTTGATGACTTCTTTACGCAAATACCCCAACTGAGTTCGATTGCTTTGCAATCGTTTGTACGGGGAAGTGCTGGAAAATCTTACAGAATATGTATACATATTTGACAAATTGTGTGTGGTATGAAACATTTGTACAAACGACAAAGTTATAAATGAAATTATAAACTGTGAAATAAATAAATAATTCCAATTGCTTCAACGTAACGATAAATGCAATGATCCATACTTGTTTTGAAGTGTTGCTGCTCACGAAGAAGTAGTGTAGGGGGCACCCATTTAAATATGTATGTGTGTACATATGCATATGTAAAAATAAACTGGT